TCTTCTATTTGTTTCTTTACTTTCTTTACTATATTGTGGGTGCCTGGAATTGTGGGCACTGGTTTCTGTAGCTGGAATTTGGCTGCAGGGTTGTTCAAGAACTGGAATTTGGTTCTTGGTGAAGGTTTAGGTGCAGGGATTGGAATTTTGGTTCTTGTGGTAGATTGAGTGTGAGATTAAAGTTGTAATCTGTAAAACGTTCAATCTAGTGGAACCCAGCTGGAATTTGGTTGAAAACTGGACATAGCCCTGGGATTGGGTGAACCAGTATAAATCTTGGTTGTATCTTTCTAAACCTTTCTCTCATTTAATTCAGTCACTGCCTTTATTTTGATTGTTTGCTGTGTGTGATTCAAGAACTAGTCAGAATTCTTAATCTTTGAAATAGATAATCTGTAAATTGCGAAAATCTTTCAAAGATCAATTCAGCCCCCCTCTTGATCTCAGCCTACATTTCTAACAATTGGTATCAAGAGCAAGGTTCTTGAGAATTATTCAAGTCTTTCGATCCAAATGGCTGGAAATAAATTTTCTGAGGGTGCTTGTATTAATAGACCTCCACTGTTTTGTGGTACAAATTACTCTTTTTGGAAGATTAGGATGAAGATCTTTATTGAATCTGCTAGTGTAAATGTTTGGAATATCATTGAACAAGGAACTTATGTTTTTAACAAAGATTGGTCTAGCTTAAATGATTGTGAAAAGAAACTAATCCAAGGTGATTGTATTATTAAGAATATCATTATATCTGCACTTAACAAAAATGATTTTTTCAGGATAGCACTGTCAAACTGTTGCACAAATGTGGAAAACCCTTGAAATGACCTATGAAGAAACAACAGAGATATGCTTGATGGTCAATTCGGATTCTCCAATGACCAGTGTAAGTTTTGATTCAACAACTACTATGAATTATAGTTCATTACAAGATGCTTTTTATGAAATGCATGCAGTAGCTAAGAAATTAGAAATTGAAAACAAAAGATTAAAAAGCATGAATAGTTTATTAGAAAACAAGATCACTCTTCTTGAAAAGAAAATAGTTGATGAAGAAACCAAGAATGAAAATCTGGAAATAGGTAATAACTTTGATTGCATGTGTAATGATAAAGATTGTAAAAATTGTCCTGAGTTACAAGAGAAATTAACATATTTAATAAAAACTGCATCTAAACTTGCACAAGGAAAAACTAATCTTGATATGATACTTGATTCTCAAAAATTGGTTATTGATCGTGGTGGTATAGGCTTTACACCTCTTGTTGGAAAGAAAACTAGAGCATTTAAAAACTATTTTGCATATAGTAAATCTGTTTCATCTCCATTTATTAAATGCTTTTATTGCATGAAATAAAGAAATTGCTTAAATTTTGTAATTGTGATGAGAGTGAAGAGTTCTAACTTCTTCAAATTTATTGTTTGTTTGTACTATATTGTTTTATTGAATAGAATTTTGTGTTTGCATTGATTGAGGGGGAGTTGTTTATTTTTGTTATGCATATGTTGAGGGGAAACTTTTTCATTTCATTTTTTGATGATAATCAAAATAGGGGGAGAAATTATTTAAAGCCTCTTATGTTTAATAATTTTAATGTTGTCTGGTATGTTTAATGTTTTTGTTAGCTGTGACAGATAAAACAGGTTATTACAAAGGGCTTTAAAGAGAATTTTGATCATCATTAAAAAAGGGGAGATTGTTAAACATACAAGGATATGAAGCTTGCAGATTTTGATGATGATTCAAGAACAAATGACTTAAAGATTTGAAGACTTATAATCTTATGTAATAACTCTGTTTTTATATTTTTGAGTCTGTAATATTAGAGTCCAAGATAGTCAGCACATAGATCATCCTTTAAAACCTCTAAAACCTCATTTTTATTAAAAATACACTGTGATAATTGATTATCACTCAGGATAATCAATTATTACAGAAAGAAAATTGTTTTCAGGAATAGCTCACTATGATAATCGATTATCACTCAGGATAATTGATTATCACAGGCAAATAATCGATTATTTGGCCAGATAATCGATTATTCCCAATTCTTCTATTTTCGAAAATCACCATTTCCCAGACCTTATTCTCTCTACTTAAGGTTCTCTAAGGATCTCTACAAAATAACAAATCTTTTTCATACAAAAGTTAAGAGCTGTGACTACGAGAACTTTCTGCAGGGAAGAAAAAGGGGTTTTTGAAAATCTAATGTGGGCTAGAAGCGATAAGAATCACTGAGTGGGTTTCTTGGTGGATTGTGTGTTGTGCCGTCTCTAGGAAAAGTTATTGTTCATCCTTTGTGGATTCAAAGGAGGTGTTCATCTCTTGTGTGACTCAAGAGAGGTGTTTTCTATTCCTTATCTTTTCAATTTGTAATCTATTTGTAAACTGTGATTATAGTGACAACGTTAATCATCTTTTTGAGTGATTAGCAACTGGACGTAGGGTGTTTTGATCCGAACCAGTATAAATCAACTGTGTAATTCTCTTTCCCTTATCTATTTACTTTACAAAGCATTTTAATCAATGAAATTTGGGAAAAATTTTAAAACCCTAATTTTTGTTTAAGAAACCAATTCATCCCTCTCTTGGTTTTTGTCCATAAACGCAAATATTCCGTTGCGCGATTCTAACAAAAAATGTGTGCCCAAAGCAAGGAAAGCCTTACCAAGCAAGGTTCACACCTAATTCTCAAATTCATGACCAAATATAAGAAAAGGAAGTTAAAATCAATTTAATTTTTAATTTAAATTTACTTTGCATTTTATTTGAATTTTTGGATCATATGACTATATCCAACTTATAACTTTGTAAATTTATTTTTGATATATGAGAATCTGAGTTTTATAGAGAAAAACTTGTGAGATGATTTCTAGTTTTTGGATCTTATCAATCAAGAGACAATTCTACATTTTCACTTATCTCGAGGAGCTTCTTCACCAAGTTGTGTAATTGCTTTCATCCCGTAAGTCTTCCATCTTTTACTTTCAATTATCTTTTCTTAATTGTTTTTATTTTCTTCATCTCTCATGCCTTCTACCTCTCTTTATTTTTTCTTGTTTTGTTCGTTGTTTTTCTTTTCCATAATGTTTGATCACAAATTTTTACACTTATTTAAGAAATTAAACTCATGTTGGATGATAAGTGATGAAATGATTATTTATTATTTTCTTTGTACACTTGTTTCATTATAAGCTTCCACCACACTTGTTTAAGAAATTAAAATCACGTCCATACTTAAGTATGGAAATAATAATTAAACTCTAAAGAATACTAAAACAATAAAATCAATTACTTTTAAATATAGAAATACTTTCATTTAAATTCTATTAATATTAATATGGTAGTAAAGTCAATCACCATAATTGATTACACCTAACATCTTGAAAGGTCATTTACGAGGTTTGAGAGTACAATTTGCCTCTTAGAGTACAATTTGCATCTTAACCTCAAAACATGTATTTCTATAGTAGATGGTGATGAATTTTTAACCTTTTTGAAAAAACTCTATAATGTGAAACTCTCAAAATATAAAAGAAATATAATGACTAATGAGAAACTTGCATGTTTAGACTTATTTCTCATAAAACTAGTTGAGAAAGCCAAACCATTTTTTAAATTACCAAAAAATCACAACAATTTGAGTCGATTGACAAGAGCAAAGTAATGTTCCAATGCGACAAAAAGTCTTAGATAACTTAAGGACTTTAGATTTAAGGTTTTTATAAATACCATATTTTCTTAATTACAATAATACAATCTTTTGGACAAAACTTTGACAAAACATAACTAAACAAAAAAAACTCACATATTTGATTCTTTCCAAATTCATCGAAAATGTTGAACCATTCTTTAAATGGCTAGAAATGTCACAACAATTTCAATTATAAAAAAATATGGTTCCAATACACCCAAAAGTCCAACTGAACTAAAATATAATTTATAAATATTTATTTTAAATAAAATTAAAATTAAAACATTAATCATTATTTTCAACCATGAATAATCTTGATCACTATAGTTAAAAATATATTTATGTAATTTTGATTTAAATATTAATATTTTAATAAAATACTTATGTATTTTTTAGTGTGATTAAATACTTGTATAGTAAGTAGAAGTTTTATTAAATACTTTTATGGTGTGATTCTATTTTATTTTAAAATGTAAAATTAGGTAGATTTTTTTTTAAACTAACATAAAGTTGAATCTTTTAAAATATATTATTTAATTTAGTGATATTCAAAATTAAATCATTCTAAAAATAAAATAAAAATTGAAAATCAATTAAAATTATTTTCTTCTTAGTTTTAAAAATAATTTTTTCAAACTGATGGATTCAATTCAATTTTTTATTTCACATTGATAGACTTATAATTTATTATTAATATTAAATTTTTTTTAAGTTTTATCTATATTATTATATGAAAGAGAAATATTTTTTATAACTACTTTTTTTCATCGATTATAAATTATATCATTCTTTATCAAATTAAAATAATTATGTTTATTATAATAAAAGAACTGGAAACAAAATATAAAAAATATGTATGAAAAAAAAACATTTACACATATGAAAACGTGAAATAAAATTTAATTAAAAAAAAACAAGTGTTATATTATGAAAAAAAGGAGAAAATGTATGATTTAAAATAAAAAATGAATAATATTACAAAATAAATCAATAAAAATAATTATTTAAAAAATTTAAAATATAAAAATATTGATACAGAATAATTTTTTTTATTTAATTTATAATCAAGAAATATTGAAGCAAAATTCTGTTTATTATTCTTGTTAGTATAATGCAACTAATTTATAATTTCATTTTTTAAAATTAGTAAATTACGCTACCGTCCCTAAGAAGGGAAAATAGTTTTCCCGCCATTTTGTACCAGGCCCAAATTACTTGGCGCGTATTCTGATCCTGTGAAGCAACTCCAACAACGCTCACCCTACACTCTCGCCGATTGGGACTGTCCCAGAGAGAAGAAAGAAAGCCATGGAAATCTTTCGTCCTCAGAGTCGCAGGAACTTCGTGTCTTCCTCCAACGACGCCGTTTCTGTTCCCACCATTCCCCTTTATCGCTCTGCTCCCCCCATTGAAGTAAGGCTCGAGGAGTTCGAGTCCTTCGCCATCGACCGCCTCCGAGGTTTATTTTCTTCATCTCTTTTCTTTTAACGTCTCCCGCTTTTTTCAAATCTAGAGATCTGCTTCAAATTTTCCTCTGTTCGTGCCTAGGGCTTCGATTATCTACTCTGCTTTAAACTCTGTCCGTTGCTCGCTATATACATTTGATTGATTTAAGAAATGAGTATATTGTTGAAGCGAATATTCGAAATCTGCAAGCGATGCGTGAATTTCTTTTATCATGTTGAGTTAGAATGTGTGTTTGTTGGTCAACTTTCGTTGTGGCGTACATTTTGCAAGCTGTGTGTTTCCGTTTTGATGGATAGTGTTGCTTGTTGCAGTTCTCAAGGGGATTTCTGATGGTATGTCGCGGGGGAAAAAACCGGAAGAATTGGAAAATTTGGTAAAATAAAATGTTGTATTTGACAATTTTGATTTGTCGGTTTCTCTCATGCTTCATAAAAAATAAAAACAAAAGTAATGCTGTGTAGTGGACAATTTCCATCTGAACCACCTCTTTTACAGGTAAAGGACTTGTGGAAAGTGAATATGAGACACCAACACGCATCTGAGGTTCTGAACAAGGATATTATATCTCATTTTGTTCTACGTCTTGTGTATTGCAGAACGTAAGAGCTCCTCTCTTTTGTTCATTCCTTTTTTGCCATGGAAAAGAGTCCTCAGTTATTATCTTGTCAAAATAAATGGAAGGTCATTACAAATTAAATAAATTGGTAATGACGAGAGTTTAAGACCATTGACATCAAATTGACCATATTTTGTATTTGTGTATTAATTCTGAATGATGCTTTCCCATATCAAAGCAAGGAACATAGATCTTTAAAAAGATGTCATAAGAAATCCTAATTATATTTCTGAAGTTCCACATGTATTAAAATTCATAATTGCATACGTGTATTCCCAGGGAGGACTTGAGGAAATGGTTTCTTTCCATGGAATCTGCACTCTTTCGCTACCGTTTTCGTCTTCTAAATGCTGAAGCTCAGGTAAAATTTGCGAATTCTATATTGCTTTTGCATTTCGTGTTAAGTACTTATTGGTTGTATATTATGTTTATGAGTGCACAGAGGGCAGTCATGGAAGAATTTGACCTTCCTTACAGGGCCGTCAGCAATGTAGAATTTGAGGTAGTTCCATGCCGTTAGTTTTATTAGTTTGGCCTTGTCTCTTGTTTCTAAATTTTACCATGAAGTTGATTTATGCAATACTAATAGTTATGAGGCACAAATAGATCTTAGTACCTTATAGAAATGACGTTTTTCTATTTTCAGAGTATAAAGGAGAAACTGGGACAAGTTGCACGCTCTATTGGTCAGCCTTCACCCACTGGTAGGAGCACATTGCTTATTTTTTTCAATCATTTACAATATTGGTAGAAATGATTTGCTTGAACCATGCTGGAGTTTGTTTAATTAATAGGAATATAACTAGTCGTTGTTACCCAATATCTAAGGCATATCTTTCCTTCTGAATCTTTTAGGATTTGTTTAGTACATAAAATCACTTACTGATCTAGTATTTGCATGAGATAACTTCTGAAGGAAGATATTTAGGATTCTTTGTTTGAATGGTATATTTGCCCTTCTATTCTACAAGAAGAAGAAAAAAAAATCTACAAATTTTGAAATTTATTGCTTTTTTTTCTTCTTCAAGCATTATTTCCTGATTTTATTACTTTTTGAAGTCTAATTAAGCCTATGTTTTGCTTTGCTCCGTTTACTTCATTTTTGCAGCTGATGCTATCTTCTACAAGGTATGTGTTATATCTTTTATTTCCTACTTATTTTTGTCATGCAAATGAAGAGATCCATGCACAGGTTGACATGCAGTTTTACTTTAATATTAACTCAGTGACTGTTTCAAATATATCTTATCGTTCTTGTAATAAGAGTATTGAATTCTGTTGATTCCTTGTTCACAAGTTTCCTAGGTTAAAAAAGTTGAATCTCAGTATATTCTTTAGGAAATAGTGATAGAGAGGTCTTCTCTCAGCTCCTCTAATTGTGTTCTCTTGGGATGATGTGATTAGTGAAGAATTTGGGAAAGATAGACCTTATTATTTTGACTGCTAAAAGTCCCTTCATCTTTCTTTGAAAGTTTAAGATATCTTTCCCTTTCTTTACCATTGCAGCTTGGATCAGTCCTTGGAAACAAACTCTTGTTCCTTTTACTTACGTAGGTAGAGTAAGCATAGACATCAACTAACCCATTTAGAACTTGATTATATTGGCATTTTAGATCTTTCATGACCTAAGAGTTACTATGTTTTTTATCTTTCCATTTTGTTAGTTACATTAATAAATTTTCTCATGATATGGTTGGTTTTTTGAAGCTTATTTTTGTAATGTTCAAAAGCTTTTTTGTATGAGTGGAATACAAGAGTATATCATCTTTCAACGCAGTTTTCATCGAAAGATAACAAACAATTGTATATGATACATCAGTATGTATTTTACTAACTCTTGTAGTTGTATTACTAAAGAACAGAACAACAATCTAGAAGCAACTATCACTAGACATCTGTGTAACTAACTCTCTCTAACAGTGTAGCAACCCACAAGTTGGACTGCTAAGAGCAGACTTTGTTACATCTCTCATATCTCATTGGTATTCTCCCTTAGTTTTTGGGTTACAACATTTGTATATCTTTCCGTTCATTCCATTATAGGTACCATTTGAAGAAGTTCCAGACCTTGTGGCTGGGCGGAAAGTATTAATTAAACAAGGAAAGGCCTATGTTGCAATGAATCAGGTTGACTAGTGTAATTACTTACTAATTCTTGCTTTTAATCAGAGTATTCGTAATAGTAAATCCTAATTATGTTTCAATTTTGCTCTCTTCCTAGATTGTTTCACTTGTAGCCACACTGTTCCGCAGTCAGTTGTCAAAGACCCTCATCCTTACAAACAGGTTTCATTGGTCATTGGATCTTGATAATTTCTCATATTTATTCTCAAATTTCTTTTTCTTAATTCTTAAATTTTTCATCTAATTGTTGCAGAAAATGGACATCTTCAATTAGAGAACAAGAGAAACATAGGTTGACTCCTGTAAGTGTGGTTGTGCTCTTTGTATAGCAATAGATCCTTTCTTTGTTATAAAAGTTTACTAGCTTTCTATGTAACTGTAGATTGTGGAAGCCCTGTGCTCAAGTTATCTGGGTCCTGATTATTCTCAGGTAATTCAAACAGTACATTCATTCGTTTATTTCTGTCGGTATTTATGTGATGTTGGATTGACAATGGTCATTGTTGAAACCCCTGCAGTCAAGAGACTATGGTGATATATCATTGAAGGACATTGATCAAGTTGCCAAGAGCTCATTTCCTTTGTGCATGCGTCACCTATTTGATAAGGTTAGATATTGGAATAACTTACGCTCATGTGTTTCCACCCTCTTGATTCATATGTAATTTCTATCTTACTTTTCATATTGAGTTGAGTCCTTATATTACTTTTCAATTTTATCTCGCATGTCCTGATTCATACTTCTTTTGAATGCAGCTGAAAGAGGATCATCATTTAAAGCATGGAGGGAGGATGCAACTTGGTCTCTTTCTCAAGGTTTTTATTTGTCCGCCATATGGTCATAATAAAAAATACTCTCTGGACTGTATATGTTTATAAGTTTGAGGTGTTAAATGAGGCTTGACACCTCACATGTTGTATATTTACACATGGGTTAAGGAAAGGAAAATGATTGGCTGGAATTATCTCGTCATTTTAAGTTTCTTTCTCAAGTTTCAAGTTAATTAACAACATATAAGTCAAACAATGTCAAGCACCTTTTGTTGAAAAGTTGAAATTTATGCTTTTACACCCGTAAACTTATGGTACCGAGTCTGAGAATCTTCAGTGTTCCACACTTTGACTCGTTTCAATTGGATAAATTGGCACAATTCTCTACTAAAGAACACAGGTTATGGTTTCATGATTACGATGGATTCACATTGGTGCATATTTGTAGCATTGTCAAAATAATTTGTTTTGGTTCATGTTCATACTAATTTATCATGACTGCTGTTGAAAATAAATTAGTTATCTTAATCCATTTACTTTTTTATTACTGTATATCTGTTTTCCTGATTTGTCTTCTTTGTTCTCTTATCTCTTTTTCTTTTCTCTATAATGTAAATAGGGTGTTGGCTTGAATCTAGATGATGCACTTGCGTTTTGGAGGGCAGAGTTCTCTAAAAAGGTAATTACAATTCTTGTACAATATCAATTAGGGAAAATAAAATATGACAATTCCGTCAGACTTTGAAGTTAAATTTGTCCACTTAACCTCTTTTCAGTTGCATGAATGGTGAATTAGAATTACAACAGTTTTAGAGTTAGATGATTAATGCGAATCTGTATACCTGTATTCAATTTATTCCATATCTCTATAAACATCTAGGTTTATATAGATTTTGAATAGGTATTTCATAAGCTTTTTTTTTTTTTTTTTCTTTCTTTCTTTCTTAAATGACATTAACAATTAATCAAATGTAAGATCTCATTGTAGGTTGGGTTGGAGAAGTTTGAGAAACAATACGCATACACCATACGTCATAATTATGGAAAGGAAGGGAAGAGAACTGTAAGTTTTTAACTTTTTTCCCACTGATTTTTGAGATATTTCAAATATATTTTTGTTGCTGATGACTTTGGCTACTGTCATTTCCACTTTTAAAATAGATTTTAAACACCCAGTTTCAGTGTGGTATATGGTTGCATATGTTTCAACTAGTAATATTTTGATGCTGCTGCAGGATTATACGCCCTATTCTTGTACAAAGATTATTTCATCAACTCCTGGAACTGGAGATCATCATGGTTGCCCCTATCGACATTTTAGGTCGCTCTTAATACTTGTGTTTTCAAATGGATAGCTTAGTTTTCGTAATCGGATGTCAAATAAATGTTTTAATAACTCTGCCTTTTGCTACAGGTTTTTCCTTTAGAAAACTATGAGCTTTTAATGAAATTGTGACGGGAACCAGGAAGATTTAGAGTCTGGATCCTCTCCAACCCTCCAATCTCTAAAATAATTTATTACTCACAATGATTTTTATAATTAGTTTTTTTAATAATCTTTAATTTCAATAACCATTAGATAATAAATCAATGGTTAATATATCAGTATGGGGAGGTAGGACGATTAGAGAGGATCTAAATCCTCAAATTTCCCTACTCTCTCGGTTCCAAATAAATCCTTTTGGAGAATTTTTGTTTGGATTTTTTTGTCATTTGTGAAGAATGTCACATTAATTATTCTTTTAGCAATTACACTCTTATTTCTCTTTTAAATTTTAAATAATTTGCACATGCATTTATTTATTGTGTTAGGCAGAGAAAGAAAGAGGTAAGATAGAAAACCGCACAAATGTTTGATTACAAAACAATCTAATAGACAAATAAAAAAGAATGGAGAGAATAATTTTATGTTGGAAGCTGTTAAGGTTCCAACATAAAACCAATTGGCAATATGTAGAGTAGTCTAACATGTATTTAAACCATATAAAATGATATAAGGTAGGCGATGTGGGACTTTCAACACATCCCCTCCAACGAAGCCTGCGGGACCAGGCAAAGGGTACTTTTGACCCAAACTAAAGGGCAACTTTTGGCCCATGACAATAACCGAAAAGATGTTAGGCTTTGGCTCTGATACCATGTTAAGATTCCAACATAAAACCAATTGGCAATATGTGGAGTAGCCTAACATGTATTTAAACCATACCAAATGACATGAGGTAGGCGATGTGGGACTTTCAATAGAAGCTATAATATATTAGTTAGGGTACTAAGAAATGGTAGTAGTATGTTCATGTATTTCAATTTTCATGTTAAAATGCATTTATTGTTCATGGGTATTAGTGTGTGGGAAGTTGTACTAAATTATTACCACCTTTGGTCCATTAATTTATAGTTAAGTAGACATCTATTCGTTTATGGTGAAAGGGAGTGTATTTCTTTATTGGGTTTATAATAGAATAAGTCATATTTATTGATTGAAAAAATGATCTTTTGAATTACAATTAGTGTTAGTGTCATTAAATATAAATCACAACCTAAGCCATTTAAATTTATGGGTATTTCAATAATCATTACATTATTAATTAAAATTAACTGATTTTAACTACTTTTAAAGGTCTTGTAAATATTTGATTGTTTTTTTAATGTATAAAGACAAGAGAGAGTATTATTAACCAAGGAAATTGTCAACCATTGTATTTGTTAAGAGTCTCCCCCCTCTCTATTTATGTCATTTATGGGTGTGTGCGGATGTCTTGCATAACCTGTGTACTGCAGTTCTCATGAAAGCATTCTCATTCTGTATTTTTGCCAAAACACTTTATTTATTTGATATTATATGTATATGTACTTCGTAAATGTAATGAATATTCTAGTTGTAAATCTAATGGTGGAATTTGGGCATAGCTCAAATCTTGGTCCTATTCCTGGTCATATTCTTTGATCTTGATTGGAATGAATAGATGTTGGGGGGTAGATTGCACCACTGGAGTAAACTGCACTTCAAATAAAATTGAAGGGGTTAAAGTTTACTAGATTTTAATTATCATTGGAAATGGTTATTCGGTTGTCTCCTTGATATTATTTTGATTTTTGTATGGACGTGCCCTGATATTTAATTAACGCTGAACTTAATAGCGAGGAGAATCTACGAGCTGCTCTCGGCACAATGGGGGTAAACAGTCGAGCAATGGAAGATGTGATAGACAAAGTCAGAAATAGACATTATCAGGTAGGTCTCAGCACAACCCGACTTCAATAGTCCATTTCAACTGTTTGATTTGATATCTGATTACATGAATAACGTATATGCAGTTGGCTTGCACCTTGACATTTGAAGCTCTTCATGGCATGCCGTGTGATGCAGGGATTAACCATCCAAATCAATACTTTAGTGACAGTAAAAAGATATTGCAGTCAAAGGTAGGTTACAGTTTACAAATTGTGATTCAAACCAAAACTTGTGCATTACAACTTTAATTAGTTAGAAACGAGTTAGGTTAGTGATATGATGTTTTTTTTTTTCCCACAATCCTGGCCAAGAGTGTAGAGTATGCTATTTACTTGTGGCCCGTATTGTGATCATAAATTTGCTTAGTAGTGTGAATGTTGGTGAAAGCAGAACATCAGTTCATCATGACAGTGAAATATGCATGAAGCTAAATTACAAACATCATACTAAGCTATTAGTTTTTTTCTTTTGTTCTTGCCTTTCAGCATGCTAAACCTGAAACAGAATATATTAAATATCAAATTATAACAATTTCCACTGTTAAAATGGAAGGTGGTCAATGTTGGTGGATAAACGCAGTTGTTATTGTCCTCAAAATTTCTGCAATATATTCCTTGGTTAGTCAAAGTCTCAAACGGTTTTGGCATATGTTTATAATTCCCACAGACCACATCACATACAACATACAGGTGGACCCTTATAATAATAATAAGTAAATAATATCACTAACGTGATATCTATTCTTTGCTGACTACGTGGACCTGAATACCTTATAATCTGCTCTATGCTTATACACCTAACGTAATTATTTTCTTCGCTGTTATTTTTTATTTTTTATTTCAAAGCAGAAGGATTCTTCAGCCTAGAGTATTTCGGTTATTGCGAAGACTGGTGCAGCGGCCTTTCTCAGGTTGACTTGAGCATTCTGTCTTCTTTTTCCTACACGCTTTTCTGGACCCTTTTTCTGTTTCTTTCTGTGTTGGAAGATGAAAAAACTATGCTACTGGTAATTTTTTTTGTATGCCGAAATAATACATATTTGCTTTCATTAAAATATATATGTTGATAAAATAACGAATATTAAGTTTTTCTTAATCAAATACTGAGGTCTGTATTATTCCATTATTTATTATAGCTACACTGTTACTATATTTCAGATTCCTAAAACCTGTTGTGCACATTTAAATTTCACGTAGGCGTTTCGTTGGTGCGTCTAATCATGTATATGCAGAGAGACAATGTGGTAAAATCTTCTATGTAGCTTCCAAAGCAATTCAAAGGAGGTAGATGGATTCTAGGAATATATCATCGCGGAAGTCTGGTAGAAAACACGGGGCGGTTAGGTATTCTTTGTAGTATAATTTTCGCCTCTAGCCAAACGTTTCCATGTAAACCTTCGTGTATGTTTATTCAGGTAGGTGTAAAATGGCAAGTGTTGTAGCACAATATTAAACTGTACAGTTTAAAAATGACATTCATGAATCACGTAGAATAGCGGATCCGAGGTAGTAGGGGAAACCTTTCGAGGAAAGATAGCTGCAATCAACATTTGATATTGGTTATATGATGCCACAAATATTCGAATATCCTTATGATAGGTACTTGTAATATGTGCATTAAATTTAATTATATAACCATTTTTATGTTCAGAACTCAAGTCATAGTTTGCATGCTCGTACAACTATCAGAAATTGTTCTACTATCAGTGTTATGATGACTACATTAGTTATGGGCATGGTAAATGCTTATCCCATAGTGAAAGACTACGATGATCTCCGCCAGTTGTGCAGATGTAGATCAAACTAAAAATCCTCTGGAGTATGAACATGTCAATTAAACTCAATTTATTTAAAATATTCAAAATTAAAAATGGACTTCCAGACGGACTACGGGGACTTAATTTCAAATATCCGAGTTTACAACACAAGCAACCAAAGAATAGGGATTTTTTACGCATTAGCTATTTCATTAAAAATTTTATGGATAGCAAAATTTTATTTCATTAAAAATATAACAAGTAAAACTAATTATATTTGCTATTTGAATAAAAAATCATTTTCCTAACTGTTGTTAAAGTGCTTTGGTTGGTGAACATTAAACATTTGTATATTAAATTCTTTTTTCATATTTTTTATACTATAAATGTATTTTAGATAAACGAGTTTACTTCTACCTAACTAATAAAAGTTCACTTTAGTATCTATCGCTAAACTTTTAAAAAAATTGTAAAGCTATATTTGTTTAGTTCCATTCGTGTGCAGTTTTGGAATCGTGCTAGTGAAATGTCAGCGCGGGAAGTGAATAAATAAGTGACGAATAACGCTATGTTTGATTGCGTGGATAAAAAAATATAAAGAATAAAAATAACGAGAAAATAAGTAAAAGAAAAAAGAGAAATAAAATTAAGCCTTTGAATGATTGATTTGCAAAAAAAATTGAATGATGTTTCGTGTGAAAGTGACTTGAATTGTATTGTTATTATTTATAATTAATTATATGATAATAATTCATTTATAGTTAAGTAAATATAAAGTGATTTACTATGCGAGGTTTGTGTTTTTTCCAACTCGTTATAGAAGGATTTGTTATGCATGATAGAAATGGAAGCAAAACAAGAGTCACATTTTGTTTGCAAAAAATATTGTTAAGAGTTATTTTTAAAGTACTTTATTTCGTTTTATAAATAGAGTTATTCTCCCTTTAGTGTGACCTAAATTTTTATGTGAAAAGATAATTAAAAGATATTTTTTATGTGTTCTCAAGAAATTTCTTATAACAATAACTTCAACTTATGGAGATGTTAGCTCTCTTCTGGGGCAAGAAAAGAAGGACCTGTGTTGGTGTTGAAACTAGAAGCAAAGTACATTACATCTACACACAAGAATGTGAAGTATTTGGAGAAAAGATGCCAAATGGGCTTTGAGCAAAGTTTGAAAGTCCATACTTGATAAAGTCTCTCCGTAATTGTACATGCGAAAACAAATAATTATATATCGTGTAAATACATTGAGTTCATTTTTAAAATATGAGTTAATTTCAATGACAAAATGTTCTTATGTCATATATGTCAAGAAGAAAGGTATTGGAAAAGAAACTACTTAGAACTCAAAAAAGATAAAGAAGGTTCTTCGGAGAGTTTGGTAGATGATGTGATTTTTCCTATTAGAATGGATAAAGAATCTATTTCTTTAATGCTTAAGTGTCGGAATTGAGTGATATCAAAACAAGAGAAACAGTGATATTTTGAATTTTGATTTTGGTATATTAAACATTGAAAATGACCTAGTATTTTATAAGATACAAGCGTGACCTAATTAAAACCAAAACATGAAACAAACAGCAAAATGATCTAAATTTAACTTTGGGAAAAAGAGGACATACAAAAGGAAATAAAACGATAACAGCAAAGGCACCACAAACTGAAATTTTGATAAGCTGGTTTAATCACCACAAGAATTAGAACATTTCTTGATAATATTGATGGTTCAAGCAAAAACTCTAGGAGAGAGTTTATCTGAAATAACATTCTGCCTTTTTATTCAATTTCAAAATTATAAATACAACTAGTTCTTTCGCCTCTGGAAGCACATAAAAGAAAACTAAATTCTCAGTATTTCAAGCATATGTAACTTGGCTTAGTGATTACATGAGGTATAATTAAGCTTGAAGTCTAGGGTTCAAACTAGGCTTATGTCATTATTTTACATCTATTAATACTATAAATCATTATAACCAAATTTTAAAACTAAACACATAAAAAGCCTAAGCCTATAGATCAGGAAACTGATCCTTCCTGAAATGCACCCACACCCAGCTGTTGAATATACAAGAGTAAGATTTTGATGATGATTCAATAACAAAATACTTAAATACATAGTCTGTCCACTGAAGGTTCATTTTTTAACAAAACCACTCTGTGATAATTGATTATCACCCAGGATAATCGATTATCCCACTTGAAAATTGTTTTGGAAAACTTGCTGGAATAATCGATTATCTCAGTGGATAATCGGTTATCCTGGCCTTTCTGAGTTTCTGAAAAACACTGGAATAATCGATTATCTCAGTGGATAATCGATTACCCTAGTCCAAAAATACTCCTCTGCGAAATGGTTCTCTGATAATCGATTATCACTTAGAATAATCTATTATTTGTGTCTATTATGATTTTAAAATTCGAATTTTGGACCTATTTTCGATGCATCTATTCCCTATTTTGAAAATCCTATTCCCCATACCTTAAATCTCTCTATTTAAGGTTCTCTATGGCTCTCTGAACAAAATAATATTTTTCATACAAAAGTTAAGACTTGTGATTGCTAGAGAACTTTGTGTAGGGAAGAAAAATGGGCTTTTGAAACCTAGTGTGGGCTAGAAGCGATAAGAATCACTAAGTGGGTTTCTTGGTGGATTGTGTGTTGTGCCGTCTCTAGGAAAAATTGTCGTCATCCTTTGTGGATTCAAAGGAGGTGTTCATCTCTTGTGTGACTCAAGAGAGGTGTTTTCTAATCCTTATCTTTTGTAATTTGTAATTTTTTTAAATTGTGATTATAGTGACAACATTAATCCTCTTTTAGAGTGATTAACAACTAGACGTAGGGTCTTTTGATCCGAACCAGTATAAATTACTTGTGTAATCTTCTTTCCCTTATCTCTTTACTTTACAAACATTTTAATCTGTGAAATTTGGGAAAAAATTTTAAAAACCCTAATTTTTATAAGAAACCAATTCACCCCCCCTCTTGGTTTTTGTCCTACACGCAAACATTATGCTGCGTGATACCAATAAGTGTATCAGAGCTTACTTTGATATTTTTTCAAAAATTTTGAAAATGGCCGGACAAAATCAAACTTTTGCCAAAGGTGCTTCTATCAACAGATCCCTACTTTTTGCGGGACAAAATTATCCATTTTGGAAAGTGAGAATCTAAATATTTTTGGAGTCTGTTGTCAGGGGTGTTTAGGATGCTGTTGTAAATGGACCTTTATTCCAAAAATGATTGAAAATGAAGTAGAGGTACCTAAACCATTTTCTAGATGGATTGCAGAAGAAAACAGAAAAGCTTAATATGATATTAGGGCTAGGAATATTATTTCATCTGCTTTAACTCTTGATGAATTTTACAGAATTTCAGTTTGCAAGAGTGCTCAAGAAATGTGGGAAATGTTAAGAGTAACCTATGAAGGTACCGATGATGTTAAAAGATCAAGAAAAAATTCATTGATTCAAGAATATGATTTGTTTTGAATGCAACAAGGAGAAACTATCTTTGATGTTCAAAAGCGGTTCAATCATATTGTCAACCATCTCACTGGGCTTGGTAAGATTTTTGATATTGACGAGTTAAATATAAAAATTTTGAAATCTTTGGACAGAAAATGGCAACCAAAGGTGACTGCCATCACGGAGTCACAAAATCTTGCTACTATGTCAATGGCGGCTCTCTTTGGAAAGTTGAGAGAGCATGAACTTGAACTTGGAAGACTAAATGATGAGGAAGGCCAAAGTGTCAAAAGAAACATTGCCTTTAAAACCGAGGTTTCAAAAAGCAAGAACAAGAAGGAGGAAGAAAACTCTGAAAATGAAGAAGATGAAAACTTGAGTTTTATGATCAAGAAATTTACAAAGTTCATGAAATCTAAAGGGAAGCATCCATTCAAAGGTAAGAGAAATGTGTTAGAATCGCGCAATAGAATGTTTGTGTTTACGGACAAAAACCAAGAGGGGGGATGAATTGGTTTCTTCAACAAAAATTAGGGTTTTAAAATTTTCCCCAAATTTCACCGATTAAAATGTTGTGTAAAGTAAATAGATAAGGGAAATAAGATTACACAGTTGATTTATACTAGTTCGGATCAAAAGACC